GAAAGTCACAGTAATATATGCAAAACAATAACCCAAATAAAAGCCTAAAGTGTCAATTAGAAAGATCAGTCTTTTAACTAATGTGCCATGTGCAAAACAAAAACCTGATAAAAATCCGAATCTAAACTATTTAACGTCTCAACGGCCAATAAATGATAAAACCTTAACCACCCACATCAACTACAGTGCTATCACTAAAAAATTGCTTTACCTAAAAACCCCTAAGAAAAGAACAACGTTCCAATTAAAAAGATCTTCAATTGGTGATGCTTTGAGTTCAACAGGAATCTCATAGGAAGGGCTTGGCCAACCCATGACATCATCAGGTAACTATCTCGCTCTGCTAGCCATTATTCATTTGGTTCTGTTTTGGGTTCAACAGGAATGTCACAGGAAGGGCTTGGCCAACATGTGAGTTCATCAGGTCGTCTCTCACACCCCACTAAATCAGTGAAAGACTCCTTCAGTATAGGCAAGCGATGAGACGAGTTTCTCTTCATATAATTTCATAATTTTAACAATAAATTCTACGAAGAAATCCAATCTAACATAGACAAAAACACCAAATAATAAAACTAAATATAAATCACATTGTTTGATAATGGGCAAATCCTACATCCAGTGGAAGCCAAATCTTAATAAACAACATTCAATCAATCTGAACCATCATCTCCTGGAAAATACAAATAAACAGTTACTCGAAAAACCAAATAGAGCCAAGAAATATAGTACTGACTCGCGTCCATGAGAATCTTCTGAGCTGGTTGATGAATATGGAAATTTTCCTTCCACCGGAATTGCGCAAAGCCCACATGAGAACTGTCACACTCTTCTTCACATCTTTTCGTAAATGGGTGGATATGGAATTTGTGCTCCAGCTCCTCAATTTCACTCATCGCGAGGCCGTTTTCCGATATTAACGTGAAGTATCAATCTATGGTACCTTTTTCAGTTAATGAGCGATGGAAATTCAAACAAAAACATCAAATTGATCAAAAGGATTTATACATTCAGCGCGGAAAGTCTCCCTTGATAAATATACAGATATCAAATAGGAGGCAGATATAGAAATTGAAATTAATAACGATTACAAGAAGGAAATATTACCATAGTCTGGGATCTGTGGATGTGACTGAGTATTCATAGACTCATAATTCAAATTCAGGCCTGAGCCAGAGCTCCGCGAGGGCGCACCCTTCTGCCCTTGACTCTCTCTCCGCACAGACTCTATTGTGTGTTGTCATACTTGGCCAACCTACCTGGGCCAATGGCCCACTCAAGCCGAACCACGTGGCACTCCAGTCGAGGTGGCATATATTGCCGAGGTGGGCTATGGCAGAAGCTCTTCAAGTCAAAGTCCACTAGCTGAGACGATTTTTACCGAGGCCTGTGAATGTAACTGAGGTCCACATGCTGAGGCCTATGAGCCAAAGCCATGATGCTGAAGCTGGTTGAAGTTAGCTGAAGCCCTCAAGTAGAAGTATTGTATGAGATAGCCGAAGCCCCGAAGCTGATGCAGGAGCCTCCGAACCACAAGGGAGCATCCTCCATGGTCACTTCTCCCAAGAGATCATCTGCACGAAGATCTTATTTGAATGATTGATGGAACGTTTGTCATAAGAATAAAGGTCAAGTCTTGTCACTAGTATGGAGGCTCTACACAAGCAATAAATGGGCAGCAAGCTAGCAAGTCAAGCCCATGCCTAGGATAAGATGTTTGAATCAAAGAGATGAGGCCACGTGCCAACTCATCCAAGAGCTCCCATTTCACATGTATCACTATAAATATTTCCCTTGTGTAACATCAAAAGGCTAATGCAAGAATCAATACAAAGAACTACATTTTACTCAACTCCCTCTCATTTACTTGCAATACACAAATCGAGTTTATACACATTTACATATACATTTACGAACACTGGTTGGTAATTATTGTACAATCGGATCACGAACAACCCGCCGGATTCCGAACGTCACCGTCCCGCATCATTGGGCTACTCCCACGCCCTTTGAATCCCTCGTTTTAGACCGTCCACGTGTCTTAGCGTGTTGGACATTCGCCCACGTGTGCGCGGGTGGGACCAGCATCTGTTGGCAACACTTTTTGGGGGTCAACAGACTCAACTTTCTTCCCTTGAAATGAATTGTCTAAGGGGCTTATCCTTTGCCGTTTTCTGTCGTCCAAAATGCTTTTGGTCAATCATTTTCGAAAATGTATTTTCGAGAAAAAAATTTAAGGGTCTGTTTGATTGCGAAGATGAAATTTGGATGGAAAGAAAATGAATTCCAGGAAGTTGAATTACCTAGAAATTGTTTTTCTGAGAATTGTAAATTATTGTGTTTGATTGGTATAATTTTCCACGTGAAAAATGTTGAAATAAAAGTATTTTTTAGTGTTCGTTTGGCTTTATTTTATATGAAAATTGTCAATTTAAGGGATATCCACTTCTACCATTGTTCTTAGAATTTGTTTCCATTGCCAACCAAAAAAAAAAGGAAAAAGAAAACGATAAAAAATCATCTATATTTTGGTGTTCGTTTGGATTTTTTTACATGAAAATTGTCAATTTCAGGGATATCCTCTTTTACAATTGTTCCTAAAATTTGTTCTCATTGCCAACAATTAAAAAAAAAACAAAAAGCAAAAAAAAAAAAAAGTTGGAAAACCAAAAACCACTTACCCCCTAGGAAAATAAAAGGTGGAAAATCACGCTTTAAGGTGTTGTACCTAGAAATTTATGGAAAATCAATTCCCTGAAAAATTTTGTCAATCAAACAAGTCAAAAGTAGAAGTTGGAATTCGAATTCCAAGTTCCATGGAAAATTTCCTGCAATCAAATGGGCCTTAACTGAAAAAGTAAAATATTTTTTTTCGTTTTCAATTAAAAAATCCAAAATGTTGAAAATGCTCAAAACACGCCTTTTTTCCCCCTTTCTTTTAGGGATGCTTAGGAGTACTTT